GCCTGGCAGAAACAGAGACTGAGTGCTTAGGGACAGACTTGTTCATTGCTGAAATTATGGAGGTGGTAAAAAAAACAAAAAACTCCATGGTGTCAAAGAACCCACTTTGAGTACCTTAGGTCTCTGAATGATGTTGGACTATCAAGGCTGAAACCCCTCTTCAGCATTGCGTGGCAGTATTAGAAAACTGGACTGGTGGTCTCCCTCCATAAAAATGGGGATGAAAGGAAGGCAATGTGACGGTACTGGAGAGGAAAGTCCTGCTTATTGTCAAACCTCGGCCGAAGGAAGGCAGCATGGTTTTTGTCCTGCCCATGGAACACTGGACCAGTTCCACACCCTCTGCAGGGTGCTAAAAGGTTCATGGGAGTTTGCCAAACCAGTTTCACATATGTACCAGTTTGAAGACATTCAGCCATAACCCTTGTGTTGCCCTGTGGGGTCATTCTAGCACTTTGGAGTCACTTATACCAGGAGATGGCTGGTCTCTATATTAGCGGAGCAGGAGTTTTGTCTGTACTGCCAGCATAAGGTTGACCACGTTCCCAATTTTTGACTCTGGAAGGACTGTGTTCTGTGATCGGTCATGTTGATAAACTTTTTGATCAAATTTCTAGATGCAGCGAAGGCCGTAAGTGATTTAATTTAGAGACCAGCAGACCACGTCCCTGCATTTTGGGAATGTGGTTCTGCTAGCTCCCACCAGCCAAGACCTATATCATGCTTTGCAGCATTTTAAGGCCGAGTGCAAATCTGGGCCATGACCAAAAGAGCGAGTTCCCAAGTTACCCAGTTAACCAAGGTGGCATTGACATCTGTTCTAGATGCCCGCTGGATGTCTCACGTTAGCAGGTGTTTCAGACAAGTCCAACCAGGAAGAGGCGCAGGACTTGCCAAAGGGACCATCTCTCAGGGATTGCTCTGGAAGCCCTCGGGCTTTCCCCAAAGCAGTTAAAGGCGGTTTCTGCTGAGATGGAAGTCTGACAGTCTCTTCTGAACCCACTTCCAGTCCTAGATAACTGGAATATGAGTCTTAGTACCATATATATATATTATAAAACTTATACTTTTGTTTGATGTGTTTAACTTTTACAATATCGTTTTCTATTATTCTGTCTAAGCTTTCTTCTGTGTAATTGTTTTGTCACTGTTGAATTTCATTGTTGAATTTCCCCTCTTTGGGACAATTAATTTATCTCTCTTCTCCTAGCGGAGCTATGATATTCTATATTGGTCTTTAAACCTCTGATCCTTTTGATTTTTACTTTTCTGATATCTTAACTCTTAAACAATTCATCCACAGACCTGTTAGCATTGAGGTTTAACAAGGTTTCTCTAGACATGCTAAGTCCTTAAAAACACTTCACAGTTCTTAGTCTATTGCAGTTTTTTTTTTTCCACATAGCCCCCAAGAGGATTTTCTATCATTGTATTACACAGGAAAATATAAAAATGCATTTCATTAGATAAAACTTTATAATCACCAATCACTGTGCATGCTCAGTGTTTTGTGTGTTGGCTAATATTCCTCTCTCCTCCCCTGTTGTTGTATTTCGGCTCTGCTCTCATCCGAGCTGTGGGCTTCAAAGGGAATGCCTCGTCTCTTCTCTCAGCCTCAGTCTTGTGAAAAGCTTTTCCCTGCATGCTACTTGCTCCGCATGAGCCCATGCTTTAGGCTGTGTGATGCCGGTGCAAGCCGGATTACGTCACAGTTGGGGCATTGAGGGCTGCCACCGCCACATGGGGCTTGGGTTTTGACAATTCAGGGCCAGATGAACAATAAAGGGCCATGACATTTTTAGTTCAGCAGTTAAGTCACGACTCATAACAGACGTATGCGGAGCATACAGCAGTAATATAATGGAACAACTGACCCTCCTTTCTTCTACCTGCATTTAAGAAAACCAGATCGAAATATTGAGCTTTTTATCTTTTTCAACCAAAAGCCTATCAGAAAATATCAATTCATCACTGATCAAATGAACAGGAGGAGGCTGTGACACAAAAGTAAAAATGTGTTCTGGAGGAAACCATTGAATAAACCAACGGTTATTCTGCAACACACTTGGTTTGCACTTTGTTCTGTCTTTAGTCATGTAACACATCACTTTATTAGTATGCAGTCTCTTCTTCTTTATCATCACCTTTAAGATAAGGTTTTAGGATAATGAGTTGACTGTATGTTAGAGGAAGTTTACATTTCTGAAGTCTTGCATTATTTGCAATGCAATGCAGTATTTGTTTAGCTTAAATAGAAATAATTCAGTGACTCGTGTTTTATTTATGACTGCTTTAAAAGAGTAAAACCAACCTACCGGTATCAGTGAGATACTACAGAAAAAAATATTTAACATAAACTGTTTGTAGGTAAACGGCAGACTCAAGAACTGCAAGAATTTAAAGGTAGAACGTTCAGAGATTTTCAATTTTTTGGGGGACAAAGTGCAGTTTTGATGCTCATACTTCATTGTATGAAAAAACATCTTTGTGTGCTTTGAAAGTTGTGCGTTTTGGTCTATTGTAAACCTAAGGTTAAAACCCCTGGATTTTTATAATTTCTAATGAATGTTAGAAAAGATTTTACTCCTCTCTATTAAGTCCACCTTTAACACTTTAAAACCCATGGTGCTTGAATTGGTTTCTTAGATTATACAAAAATTATTCTGAGCATGGTTGCACTACAGCCTCTTAATTAACAATTTGGTTATTTAATCCTTAGCGTATTTTCAAGGTGAATACTTTAGAGAATTTAAAGATGTCATCAAGTTAGATTTGTCATTTCAGAGGCTCTTAAGATGCACCATGATTTTTTGCATTAAGTTGATATATGACACTTCTGTATTAAAAAAGGGAAAGAAAAACAGACAAAATTTACTATGCAGAAGGTGAAGCAAAATCTTGTGTCATTTACCTTATTTTCCCACTTTGGAACAATAAAGGATATTTCTATATTCTGACCTCTGCATCCTAGAAACGCTCTGCAATCCGCTTCTGCCAATGTAGTACTGAAGGATTGAAATGTTTATTTTTTTATTTTTTTATTTTTTTGCAACATTCAGACAATTAAATCTCTTACTTTTGAGAGGTAAGCAAGAAAATGATTAGCAATGTAGTTTCTTTTGATTTATTTTTTTATTTTTTTTGAATACCAGCAAGAGGATAGGAGTGTTCTAAGGCCATGGTTCTCTACCAGAGAAGTTGCAGTTTACGTTCCAACCCCACCCTATTAAAGTAGCTCAGATATGCTTCCCCCAAAGGATTGCTGTACTCTGCCAAATACGAACCAAACCCAATCTTTTTCCCATATGCAGCCCATATCTGACTTTTTCACAACAGTCTTAGCCCAATTCTAGTGGTGTTGTCTGGAAAATATTAAAATAGCATTTTTTCATATGAAATACTAAATCAGATGTGTAACATGTAGCATTGTAAAAACTTACTTACTTTTACGTTACTGTCCTGGCTCTCGCTGCAAGTCCATGAACTTAAGAGCGTTGTTGTTGTTCAGGTTGATTTTCTAGATTGAAGCGCAGAGATTCCCTCTGCAGAGGTGTTTTTAAGGGATCTCTCTCTGCAGCTAAGAGCCCGAGAGCATTCCACCAGTCTTTCAAAATTAAACACAAACCAACTCTTCTGTGACAAAGAACAACATTTCTGACTTATATAATCACAGCAAACTCCTCACAGGAAAATGTAAAAACATTTAAAGGGTTTCATTTGTCACTTCTGATGTAATAGAGTAGGATAGATGGCTCCTACTAGGATTAAAACCCACTTATACCCAAACATTTGTCATCGTTTTACAATATTTATTCTTTAAAGCTGTATACAGTCACTTTAAGGTTTGCACATATTTAATAAAATTAGAACATATAAAGCATGCCATCATTTTCTAGAAATGTATGCTAGTTACGCATAGGGCTTGTGATTGCTTTCATTGGCACCACATAACATAAATGGTTGAAAAACATTACATACCTAAGTTTTGCAGTTGGTTATGCAAAAAATGCAATTTATATGCAGGAGGTATTAACAACAACTAGATCTTCTAAAACATTTAATACTAGTGAGATAAAAAATAATAGAGCGTTTCCATATACTTAGTTTTTTGCAGGATTAAATGACCGTTATTTTAGAATTGTATAAATATCATCTTTAACTGAATATTTGCTCTTATGTTGTTACAAATCTTGTTGAATGCCCTTCTGCTTACACTTCACTGCTTACAGTCCAACACTGGCATTGTGGAGTGACCAGGATATGTCTTACACACCTTTTCCTCATGCAGCGTACTGTGAGCTGCAGCTTGAAGCCTTCAGTCTGTGATGTTAAGCCAGAGGAGCTTGTTTAGGATTGGGCTCTTGGTTCCCGCTGTGACTGCCAGTATTTGAAGTGCTTTGCTGCCTTCCTACTCGAGGACCATAGGAGTCACCAAAACATTAAATGTGTCTGAAGGTTCAGATCAGTTTTGGCAGGACAGATGCAAAGTGCTGGGGGGAAAAAAATTCTGCGAAAACAGTTACTTTTATTTTTAAGTTCTTTAAATACTTCTGAATCTGGCTGATTTTCTGCTTTTCTCACTTTTTTGTGTAAGTGTGTGTGTGCGCTAGTTAGGCAGTGGTGCAGGAAGCTGTTGCACTAATCTTCATTTGACTTGCAACATGTGGCAGCGAGAGCCTTCTGAAATCTCCAACAGATTGTACGGGTTGTGTTTTGGGGAGTGAACACATGCTGTTTTGTGTAAAACGGCTGTGTGAGAACACAGGTCCAGGTAGAATTAAATTAAAGGCCTTAATAACGGCAAAGTGAAGCAGCACTCCACAGATTGTAGCCCAATTATTTTCAGTAATCTAATATTTTAAGCTTTTTTTCTTTAATTGTGATTAAAATTCACCTTCTGTCTGTGTTATAACTGAGAGCAGCCCTGCTGTGTGCTATCTGGGATTGTTTTTTGTGTTTAAAATTGCTTTTTTGGCTGCCATGTCGTCCATGTGTTTTAGGAGCTGGGATGGTGGTGGACTGGGAGCAGGAAACTGGTCTCCTCATGACGTCAGGAGATGTGAGAGTCATTCGGATCTGGGACACGGACAGAGAGATGAAAGTCCAGGTACAAACTAGTTCATTGAGACCATTTATCTTAGTTGTATATACACATTTTCAGGGTTTCTAAACAAGGTACAAAAGTATAGAATTTAAAATTAAGCTCCAGGTTTGGATCAATTTGGAGAAAGAAACAGTGCAGTGAAATATTTGTATCTTTAAACTTAATTCCTATCTGGGTTCCTTCAATCCAAACATTTGTTTGTCTTTCCTTTTTTATTAACTCACTACTTTTGCTCCTTTCTTCATGTGCTTTCTACCTTTTTATTTTAGTCCTCAATCTTTACTCTTCCTGGCTCATTTTCTTCTTTCCTTCTATGATTTCTTTCTATCTTGCGTCCTTAATTCTACACTGGTTTTGTTTCATCCTTTCTATCTTCCACCCTTCCTAGTGATTTCTCTATCTCCTTCATTCTTTCCCTCTGTTCCTTTTTGTCTCCTCCCATTTCCATAGATCTATTGTTTCTTTTGTCTCCGTCTTTTTTTGCAGCCTTCCTGCTCTTTTTTAAACTCTTTTATCTTGTCTCTCCATCTTTCTTTGTGCCATTCCATCTTCTATTCCCTTTTTTCCTGTCGTATCGTTCCTTCCTTATACTTGATAAACCAGATCCAGTCTATGTAGAAGTTTGATTTCTTCAATTTAACGGATCTAACAGACCTCAGTTTGCTAATTATTGTTATGATGGATGGACTTCATAGTACAAATGACCTGTCGCTACATACTGAGTCCAACTTCAAATAATTTTGTAGGCATGATTGATGATTTCATAATGAAAGGTTAGCGTAAAATTTGTGTTACCTTTTGAAAGATTGACAGAAGGACCTCTCTGTGTGTGTGTGTGTGTGTGTGTGTGTGTGTGTGTGTGTGTGTGTGTGTGTGTGTGTGTGTGTGTGTGTGTGTGTGTGTGTGTGTGTGTGTGTGTGTGTGTGTGTGTGTGTGTGTGTGTGTGTGTGTGTGTGTGTGTGTGTGCGTGCGTGCGTGCGTGCGTGCGTGCGTGCGTGCGTGCGTGCGTGCGTGCGTGCGTGCGTGCGTGCGTGCGTGCGTGCGTGCGTGCGTGCGTGCGTGCGTGCGTGCGTGCGTGCGTGCGTGCGTGCGTGCGTGCGTGCGTGCGTGTGTGTGTGTTGGGGAACCAGGACATCCCTACAGGTGCTGACAGCTGCGTGACCAGCCTGTCCTGCGACTCGCAGCGCTCGCTCATCGTAGCTGGTCTGGGTGACGGGTCGGTACGCGTGTTTGATCGCAGGATGGGCCCGAGTGAATGGTAAAACAATCCCTTTCACTAGTCTTTTCACACCATTGATTCCTCAAATTATTTAATCAGGATTTATGACTGAATATCCTCTCCCTTTCAAAGAAAAAACTGACGCTTTTTTTATTTCAGTTCAAGGCGGAGGAGACGTGGCAGCTTTTGTCCACATTTATTCCCTCTGAATCTAACATTATTCACCAATCTATATTTATTGTTCTTAAAGTGCTGTGAATCTGCCTCTGGGGTTGTCGCTTCTTTTAATGGACCGTGGCGACACAGACTCCTCCCTCAGCTGCTAAAACATTATTTTAATTTCAGTCCCTGAGGGCGACAAAAAAGCAGCTAAAATGTTGAAAGCCCAATAAATCTTTAGGAAAGAAAGTAAATGTAATGGTTCCCTCAGGCCCGCAGTAACATGTCTCAGGAGTTATGTTTCTCCCGCTAAGTTAAGCTAACAGGGGTCAAACATGAGATGCGTTGGAAGAAATCTTAAACACACCTTTGTTTTACAGCATAACCTGCTACGTTATACTTTCTCAGCATTTTATTTTTTCTATTGTTGGTTTAATAGGAGTCTCTGTATGCTTTGTTTTTACGGCTGAGACGCTGTAGTTTTGCAATCCATAATTTATAAAATGCTGTTTCACTGTATGGATTTAGTAATTCAGATTCTGAACAGCACCAAAGTCGTGATGAGGCACATTTCAGTTTGCTCTCTCACAGGAAGGCTGAGGCTGGATGCTTCAACCCTGAAGGCACACTGCCATCATGTGGCGCCCTGCCTTTACTGCCGAATACATTAAGAAACTATGTGTAGAGCTTAGTTTAAGCTTTATGTAATGCTGTATTCTTTTTTTTAATGCACCACCTTGCTTTCATAGACCAAAGATAAAGATAGATCTACAGAAAGTTGTATAAAATGATGTTTACCCTCCAGCAGGACCTAGAAATACAACCAGAGTTTTATAGAATGGTTTGGATCAAAACGTAATCCATGTCCAGATCTAAATCTAACTAAGAATAAGTGGCTACACTTAAAAGCTGATGTTCAAAGTTGCTCTTCATCAGATCTTACTGAGCTTGAACAAAAGGGAAATAATCTGTCATGTCTGCATGTTATGTTTCTGCAGTCGAGTGATGACCTACAGGGAACATGGAGCCTGGGTGGTTAAAGCTCACCTGCAGAAGGAGACAGACGGAAACATTATCAGTGTCAGGTAAACCTTTTAACATGTTTACTTCCCTCTCTTTGCCGCGGCTGTACTGACTCTCATAACACCTCCTCTCAGTGTTAACGGAGATGTTCGGTTCTTTGAACCGCGGACGCCAGACTCCATTAATGTGTTGCAGACTGTAAAGGGATTAACAGCCTTGGATATACACCCACAGGCCAACCTATTCGCCTGGTGAGTTTTTTTTTGTATGGTTACAAAGCTTCTACAGTTTCTACCGTTTTATGATGAAAACTTTACAATCTATTCATATGTAACCCTGTCAAGCTCCTTTTAACCTGAGAACCTTTTGTTTATTTGACTGTTGTGGCTGCAGTGGATCAATGAACCAGTTCATAGCCGTGTACAACGCTAACGGTGACGTGATCAGCAATATAAAGTACTATGATGGCTTCATGGGGCAGAGGATCGGTGCTATCAGCTGTTTAGCCTTCCATCCACACTGGGTAAGGCATAAACATCACCTTTTCTGTGTGTACATGTATATGGGGGCTATAGCAGCAACTTTCCATTGCTAACTTTTTACTAAAAAAATCAATGAGGCTCCTTAAATTTCAATTTTTATAACCATTGACTACCATAAAGCTAAAAAAAAAGATCTTCTTTACCTGATTATGATTTTTTTGCCATCACTGTCTTGTAGTGAGGCCTTTCACATCTTTGCTGTGTGAATGTAGAATATTTTATGTATTTTAGTGTGTTATTATAGCGTTATTACTGCAGTTATAGCCTCAAATGTGAGATTAACCCTCTTAAATATCCACATACTATTGTATATTAATCTAAAAAGTGAGCAATTGAAATTTAAAAAGGAATTTGTTTAGATGTTTTGTTTCAGTCTTTTTTTTTTTTTTTGTAGGAGTGTTTCCATGAACCATCTAATTGCACAAATTATGTTTGCACAAATACTTTAACAAAATGAAAACACTATAACCAAGTTTTTACGCTTCAATGATTGGTCCACATCGAAAGGAGCCAGTAGAGGTGGCTTGGGCATCTGGTTAGGGTGCCTCCTGGACGCCTCCCTGATGAGGTGTTCCAGGCACGTCCCACTGGGAGGAGACCCAGAGGGAGACCCAGGACACGCTGGAGGGAATATGGGATTCCCCTGGAGGAGATGGCCCAAGTAGCTGGGGAAAGGGAAGTCAGGGCCTCCCTATTAAGGCTATCAGCCCGGCGACCCGACCCCAGATAAACAGAGGAAGATGGAGTAATTTAATGGAAAATATGCAATTGTGGATATTTGCATTTATTTAATTTGCAAAATATCGACAGAACTTTGCACACATTTGCAATGGAAATGAAGCTATTGTATCAATTGATCTAACCATTATGAATTTGACTTTTTGTTCAGGTACATTTTGTTTTTCATCAAATGTTTTCTTTATTTCTCTTCTTTCTACCTTGTTATATGCTCATACATGCAAACATGTTTTTAATCCTCAGTTTTGTTTCCCTTTCAGCCCCACTTGGCTGTTGGAAGCAACGACTACTACATGTCCATCTATTCAGCAGAGAAGAGGCTCAGATAACACACCAGCACAGCTCCTCTTTCTCCTACCCCTCACCCCCCTACACTCATGAATTCAGACCCTGAGCCTCGAGCACTTGGATGTAAAGGATGTTTGTTTTTTGTACATATGCAATTCACCTCCGTGAATGTTCAAGTGATAGCTGCTGACAAAAACTCATGCTACAAATGTCTCTATACATATATATATATATATATATATATATATATATATATATATATATATATATATATATATATATATATATATATAATAATTATTATGATGATGATTGTTTATTCATATTCTTATTATGAGGCTAATGATTGTAGGCTTGGCTGTGCTGAGGACTCTGTGTGTATATAATTAGAAGAAGAAGAGGTTCTATTTTAAAGAAGCCCCACCCATGGCTCCCTGCAGCTCCTCCTGGCTGCACAGCAACCATCACTACCTGAATGAACTGTGAACCGTCACCCACACAAGCCCACAGTGGGGTCACACAGTGTTGAAATAGATCCACTGAAACCGGACACATGGACTAATACCAGCCCGCTGGCGCTGGACCACCTCATGTGTTTATGATCACGTATCAGATCCAGACTCACTGCAAAGAGATGCAGCTTTACTACCTGGAGGTTTAAAAGGACTAACCCGGTGGTGATAGACTGATCTCTCTCGTGTGACAAAGGTTAAGAGGGATTATTTTCCTGTGTTTGTGTTCTATATCATAGATGTGCCCGAGTGTGAACCCTCATAGTTCAAAAGGACACCTGACCCAGTGTGCCAAACAGAATCAGAATAATCCACCAATTCACTGCACATTTCAAGTTTTTTTCACTCTCATCCATGCCCACCTGGAGGTGGCTAAATACCTGGTTGCCATGCAATGCAATAAGGCTGCGTTTGCTGCCCCTGCTTAAGCTCAGCAATACAAATACATTCAATCTTAGTTTGCACTGCTCTCTTTTCACCAGCTGTCAGTGCTACCCTCAATGGCAGAAAGGACATTAGGTGTTACTTCCCTGTCACTCTCTAAGCTCTATTTATTAATATAAACAAATCTCTCACCAAAACAGCAACAAAATGCTTTGCATAAGTACTCTGTTCTTGAAACCCCACCTTCTCTCCTGCTTTTGGAAGAACTTTATTTGTTATTTCTGAGCTCAAGCTTCCTTTGTTACGACTGTGATTTATGTTAGCTGCCTGTTAAAAGCCACATGAGTCTGTGCTTTAGTGACGAAACCTTTTTTTTAGCACCTGCCATAGCTCAAAACCCTCAAAGTGCTTTAAAAAAGCTGGCCTAAATAGACAAAGACGAGATAAAGCAAGTACACACGTCACATCATACAGCATAAAACTAGGTTTGAATTAATAGTTAAAAAAAGTTAATCCACTTCTTTAAAAAAAATCAACAGAATTAAGAAAGATAGAGGATAAATATGTTTTTACAATCGTTGGGCCGCTGCTATAAAGGGTTTTACCCCCTATGGTCTTAAAATGTGTTCTTGAAACCATTGGCAAACTTATGCTGCGTTCACACTGAAGGCGTTTATGGGCGTCAGAAACAGTAAAATGCAGAAATCTGGACACCGGGTCGGACACGATCGAACTCTGATCAAGTTGGTTTGACGCTTCGATGCTCGACGCTCTATTAGAGCAGATTTTAAAACTTAGAAAATCTCTTTGCTTAAAAAATGGTTTCTGACAATGAAGGCCAATACACCAAATCCTGTTTGATCTCAGTAATTTCTTATGGACAATAAATACGTTTTTAATCTTGTTTAATTTCACCTTCTAGCAGTTATCATTAAAACTGCTAAAGTAGAAGTAAAGCATTAAATATTTAAGAACAGTAGAGCTGCACATCATCAGCATAAAAATGATAAGACATGTGGGAAAATGTCCTGATTTTGGACTTGCTGTAAAGAGAACCCTTACAGCGGATGCTCCAGAGTCAGCTGACATGAAAATGTTCCCAGATATTTTTCTTTAGAGCAGTTTCTGTGACAGAGAGCTAATGCTATAATTTATTAAAGATCTTTTTTCTCTTAAACAGAATTGGTAAATGACCTGTACTTATATATTGCCTTTTTAAGTCAGGGGACTCCAAAGCACTTTACACTAGATTCAGTCATTTGCTCCCACATTGATGGTGGCCAGCTGTAGTGTAGCCACTGCTTCCCTGGGGCACACAGAGGCACCATCAGGGCCTCTGACCACCATTAGTATTAATACAGGTGAAGTTCTCTGGTTGCAAGATGAACTTCTACATCCTATGGCACTGTGGTCCCAAGAAATGAGTTGTTCCGCCTTTTCAAGATGGTTTTACATATTTTAATGATAGGCCTGTAATTTTTAGCTGCATAGGGTTCAAATTGCATTATTTAATTGTGGCTCATTAACAGGATGCTTGAAGGAGTTTGGAATCACACCGGTTAGAAGGGAAGCATGGTAAGTTTCTTTGTAACCCAGGCATATAGCACGGGAAACCCTTTTAAACGAGAAAACAGGGAAATTTGGTTTGTTAGGTAGATATTTTCATTTTATTAAGTCAGTGTCACCTGATCAAACGCATTCAGAGATGGAGAAAGTGGGAAACCAGAAATAAAGTTATGACTCAACACAGGTACAGTAGAGATCACAGGGAAACTACCCTTGATTTCACTCAGGAATCTAATGAAACCACCTCAAACAGCTGATCTCAGAGCAGTGAAGATGCTCAGGTTAGTCACATGTTGTTGAGATGAGTGTGTTTACTCTGAGGTTAGTTTTTTTTCTGTGGTGCCCTCTCACCAACAATGTGCCTCTTCCTCTGGGCCGCAGCTTTGCCTTCTTAGCTTCTTTTATTTTTGTCGCTATAATTTGTTTTTGAATTGCTTCCTTTTGCATCTTGTTTAGCTCAGCCTCAGTTTTCCGTAGACACGACCCCATCCCCTCCTGCAACACGACTGCGAGTTTACTTTTCACTGCAAAAGACGTACTTAAGAGCCAGCAGTCGTGACGACCACCAAACTCTATAGCATTGCACTGCTTCAGTGCTCTTTGGTTCACAAGGCATCAATAAAGTATTACTATATTCATCTCTAATTATTGTGCTTTGGGTTTTAGGATTTTAAACCTTGGGAGGAAAAAAAAAGAGACTTGAACATGATAGTAAAAAAGTGAAATACAATCAGGTTTGTCTGTGACTGTAGACATCTTTACTGGTTTATAAAAGGAGAAATGAAATTGATGAAATAAACCAAATTCAACCCTGACTCTTTCTGAATTGTTTCCTTATTTTTGATTTTTAATCATATATGAAAGTGGATCATGTTAAAGCTGCTGTGATGAAGCTTCAGAAAAAAACCTGTCTTAAAGAATCTCCACCGAACAGGTTTTATTTCAATTCAGTTTATTTATATAGCGCCAATTCACAACATGTCATCTCAAGGCACTTGATCCAGATCATACAGTCAAATTGATTCAAAGTTTTCTAAGGAAAACCAGTTGATTGCATCGACTTATTGACTTAAATGCAATTCCTCACACTAAGCATGCTTGTAGTGACAGTGGAGAGGAAAAACTCCCTTTTAACAAGAAGAAACCTCCAGCAGAACCAGACATCAAATCAGCTACATTTGAACGAATGTCAAAGAATCCCAAGAAAATGTCTCATATGTGCAGCTCCAACATTAAGCACAATTCTGATACAATGATAAAGATATACATATAGATGCTCAATAGATACAATAAAAAGCATAAGAAATCCAGCAAATAATAGATAAAATGTACACTAACGCATAAATATTTTTTCTAAGCTTTTGTATTATTCACATTTACAATAACTACTTTATCATTATTATTAAAGCTACAGTGTGTAATTTTCAGCGACATCTAACGTCCAGACTGCAGACCGCAGCAACATGAACATCTCCCCCCAACAGTACGGCGAGCATTACGGGCCAAAATGTCTTCCACGACGTCCGCATCACCTACCTTCTCAAGTGATGAGGTTTGTTTACATAGATAATTTTACAGATAGTATTTCATTAGTCTGTGTAGGGTATAGATTTCAGTTCATCTCTCTCAACTTGCCGTAGTTACTTTCGAGCGTAATGGGCGATCTCGCAATCGCTAGTTTGTTGGCTCTGCGCTGCCGTAGTGCAAAGATGTCAGCCTCCATGGCTGCGAGACCCGCTCCTATGTAATTATAAATAACGAATTCTAAGGCAACGCAAATATTAAGGTTAAGAGGCTGAGCTCGTAGATGATGATAAATAACATAGTTATGTATAATATATTACATTTCTGACTGTATATCCCTGTAATTATTACACACTGTAGCTTTAAATGTATATTTTTCTGTTTAAACTTAATATTGTTTATTTTTCTGCTTTTTTTTTTTTTTACCCCATATATTTCCTAAATGCTATTTTTTCTGTCCTCTTTACATTTCTGTTTGCATTACTACCTTATTTTTCAGAGGAGGAGGTCTTTAGGGAAGAACTTCTGCCTCTTGGTTGGTTAGACTGGATGGAATCTATGTGCTACCAGGACAGGCTCACAGTGATTCTGAATAATGCAAACTAAGGACACCTGCTCTAAATGGCAATTGCTTCAGTGAGAGCAGTGATTCCTATCCAAATTGTGTTGGTAGTTAGAAAAGGTTTAATGGGTGGAACAAAATCTGTTTACATTTGCGCAGCAATCTTTGTAGCTCACCTGCAACACACCAACTTATTGCACATACTAACATTTTCACAGGCAACTTAGAGCCTTTTCATTGGAGTCTCTGAAGATCAGACCCTGAATCCTGTTCATGTCTTTACCAAGGATCTGCTTCCACATGAACCCTAATGGCCTGAAGCACCATGCAGCATTTCCCTTTTCATGTCTGTTGGCATTATTCATGTTTGCCACATATTTGCACTTTCCTGCTCCCTATTTTCTGTGATTGCAGCATCTTTTGCTGGTTTTTTTCCTTTGCATGTGCTGCTGTTTTTATTTTTCTTTGCATGTTCTTTGCATGTGTTTTGAATGTCTGTCTAATTTTTGCAAAGGTCGTTTCTTTGTACACCAAGGGTGCAGCAGTCTTTCACTGAAGGAGCTCTCCTTTAACAACATCGTGCAAAGAGTATCATCCAACAGTGACTATTTATTCTTTCACTATCCTCCCATTTCCAATCACCTGGTGAACCTCCAGCTATTTCACCTCAGCTGCAAATAATCTGCTGCTCCAACGTACCAAACCGTCATAGATTGTTGATGTGATGACGGAGCTAAGCAAGGTCATCAGGATCCTCCCCTGCTCCCTTAAAGATTTCTGTCTCAGTAGGTAAAATCTGTTCTCACCCGTCCTGTGCAGAGTGTCAGTGTTGTTCCAAGTTTATTGTTATGCAAATTGTTTTTTCATATATTAGTGAAAATAGTTACTTTTCTGATGCAACCTAATTGTCTGATCAATTGTTCTATAGCACTGGTTCTGAGGCCTTTCTGTTTCCCATCAATGGGGTTTAGATAAACTTTGAAGAGCTTTAGGTTTTTACAGAAAATGTTGATATTCTGTCATGAATCCAAAAACTAGGTTTATGTTCTTGCATCATTGCTGTAGTTAAAGGCTTCTTTTAAAACCCTGCCTGAAAGAAATATTACGTTGCTCTCAAGCTGATAGGCAAATATAATTGTGCAGCATAAATGCTCTTTAGCTGTAATTGTCTCCCTAAAAGTAGAAAACCTCCATCAAAACATGACACTAAAGGTATGACAAGAAATTAACAGCTTTAAATCTAATTTTAATCAGTTCTTTACCTGACTGATTTGGGTAGGAAAACTGTAGTTTTATCTCTTCTCTGATTGCTTAATATTTAGATCAGTTGGTTTTGTGAAGAAATAAAGAAATCTCATATAGAACCGTCAACAACTAGAAAATAAAATTAAAGCAAAAATTAGCTAGACCTAAAGAAAAACTAAAAGAAAAACATCAGGAAGCCTGAAGAAGTTGCTTTAAAAGATTATACTTTTTTTTTTTTTTTACTTGTTGCTCCAAAAAAATACCAAATCTAAGCTTAGACAGATCCTCACACTGATGTTCTTTTTGTTTATTGCTTTAATCTCTTAAGAGGAAAAAAAAAAAAGAGAGCCAATTCTCTGATGTGCTTGAAGCTGTCTATTGGTAAACCATACACTGAAAAGTTTAGTAAGGTATGCCCAAGATACAGATGTCTGTCTATTAACAGAATATTGCTTTGAAATCTGCAAAGGATTCATTGTTAATGTTGGGAGACATCCTGGGCTCAAGAAAGCAGCTGAGATGTGATAGTACCAAAAATCCATATGGAGAACCGTGTCCTGGCAGAGTGGAGGCTCCAATGGAAAAGATCCTTAACTCTTTTAGGGGTTAGCTGGAATCATCGTCTGTGTCGTACAGAAAAGCTGGTATATAGCATATAAATCTGCTGAATCTTCTTATACAAATGGAGGACATTTAAAAAAAAAAATGTCACTTCTATGTCATGTTTCTGCCTCTAAATATGAAAATGTCTGAGAGAAAGTGTTATCTCAAAGAAGCTGCCATTCTGCTGCATGTAGGGGTCACAGGTTGAAAGTCCAGAATCACTGCCATTACCATTTCACACACAAACCCACACACTGCATGTTGGAGGAGAACATTCCACAACAGCAAAGAGCCAGGCGGCGCGAACATCCTGAGGAAACAACACTCACTTCCTGTCAAATTAAGCCAAGTCGATGCTGCTTGGACTGATAACTGCCGCCACTGGGTGAGGTAAAGCACCACCTCAGTGTCTGCTGCCACCCACCAGATCCTGGTCAATCCTCACCGTGCACAAACGTTAAGACACGGCGCCCGTTGGAAAGGCAGCTCTAGTCTCTTTAACCTGAAGGACAGCCAACAGCACCAGGAGTTCCTCAGACAGGATGGGCCTCCTGCTACTGCTCACCTCTACTCTCCTGTTCAGCTGTAAGACTCCTCACCTTCTCACGCTCTCAAAGAGGAGATGGTTGATCTGACTCACACTAACCTGATGATTTCTGTTTTTCTCCAACCCTTCCATTCAGGGATATCTTTGAATACAGGTAAGATTAAATAAATAACATTTGGATTAAAACAGTCATATAAACAGATTCATTATTATTGGCTTGAGCAGATAGAAGTGTTTCATGTCTGGGCATTTATATTGATCTTAGATTTAGTTTACATATATTATGTTTCATTAAAACTTGTAAACACTGTTGTCTGTTCAGTGGAAACAGTGGTGGCTGTTATCACAGTGTTCTGATCGCTGATGTCTGCTGTGGTGGAAAAGTTGTGGTGGGAAGTGTTGGGAACTAGTGGCCGAGCAGAGTCTCACGCCTCCGGAGCTGATCTGGGATGGAAGGTGTGAGTCTGCTCACATCAGCCGTAGATTCAAATCTGTAAGGCAGGATGGAAGAGACATTTCTGCTTAAACTTCTATTTCTCTGTTTAACACAGCTAACCTGTTTATAGTCTATTTGATTTCACATTGCTGATTTCTGGCCTTTTTATTGGAAAATATTTTGCTTAAGATAATGGGAAAAAATATCCATATAAGAAATAATCTTGGATGCTTTTGAAATTAAAAGGTTTATTGAGGGAAAAACTCAGAAATCAGCTTTTTTTTCTGCACTAGTGTCTCTAAAACCCAATAAATGAATAAAGGAAAATACACGTTAAAAAAAAATCTCTCTCTCTCTCTCTAAAGATGGTTCACAGCTGTGAAAAAAACCTTAAGAGTAGAAAAAAAGACAAAGATTTGCTGTAATTTTTTGGGCTGCGATGGACTGGCAACCTGTCCAGGGTCGACCCTGCCTCTCGCCCACTGACTGCTGGAGATAGGCACCAGCACCCCTCGCAACCCCGTTGGGACAAGCGTGTCAGATGATGGATGGATGGATTTTGGGCACTAAACTAAAAGGCCTGAATTGTTAATCCAAAAAAAATCAGAGTTTATATAAAATGACAAAATTTCAGCGATTCTGGTTTTGTCATTTCAAGTCATATAATTAGCAATCATAGATTAGAGGGTAACTGCATGTGTTGACCATGTCTCTCAGGTCCAAATTTAATATAAGATTATTTGTTTTCAGTTAAAAAAGAAAAGCCAACTGATTTGTTCTGTATCCAAAAAACTTAAATGGTTTTCATTCAGTTCCACCTTCTTACTATTTATGTCGGTATAATCGTGTGGCTGAAGTTACCAGTTAATTAAAACTTCATCAGTTTTGGTTTAGAATAATCTGAGTCCAAACCACATATCTATCACTGTCTGACATTAAATCAAACCATAGTTTTTTTTTTTCATTGTTCCCTAATTTCTGCTAGTTTTGCTACCAGTAGAATTAGTGCAGTTCACAAACTATGTGCCATTATAAAGAAATATTATTATGCTGGAATATGAAGGCAATAGTGAGAACATTAAAGCTTAGGGAGAAATTGATCTTCCAAATGAACAGAAACTCTAACCCTCATCAGTTATAATAAGGAGAATATTGTAAAAATAAAGCTGAATAATAAAACACAAAGCAAACAACACGCATTAAAACTTTGAATGAACAGAAAACAAAGAGTACGCACGTCTGGGCGGATGGACAGATTTAAGTTATGAGGCTAAAGTCGATTCTTTAGAGCAACCATCATAGAATTACTCATTGAGTTTTTGTTGGAAAGGCTGGAAAGATGTGTGGCAAGAAACACCAAAAAAATCAAACTCTGCTACTCAGTTCCTTCAGGGGAAATTCTTGCAAACTGGTTTAGGATTTTCACCCAAGATATACAGTTTAAAAGACTATTATTATATATATACACATACAAAAGAATTGTGTGAACATGTCCAAAACTTCAGAAAGTAAAAACACAAAAATTGTAAATATCTTATTTATAAAATCTAACCAATGTTCGTAAAACTAAATGACCTAACACATCCAAAATAACATTAAAAACTAAAGGTTATGTTTCATTTTACTTAGCGTGAATGAAAGAATGAATAGGAATTTATTTCAGACAATTTGACAAACAGCAATAAATGAATCATCCAAATACACACAAAAAATACTAGTAATCATCAACTAAACCAAACACCAATTTCCAAACTAACTAAATTCACCTGAAAATAAGGAGAAACAAAACCCTCCACCAAAAAAACCTGTCGGTATATAAAGCCAGAGAACTGACATCAGTTCATGTAAATTGTATGAAAAAGGATATGAAGAAATAAAATTTAATTTATCAATGAATCAAATTATTCATGCCCCCTCTCCCTCTAATTGCACCTAAATTGACTTAAAGTAGAGTAACCTTCCTGTTAAACTTGTTTTTTTCCTCCAATATTTACCCACACACACAAAAATAAATTGCTGTGGAGAAATTTTAATATCCCTCTCCCTGCCTGGGAGTTAGATAGTCTTGTTTTTCCTACAGTTTAATTTTTGTTAAACTTCCAAATCTCGGTTTCCAGTTTATGTGCAAGCAGATTTGGTTGGTTTGCTCTTTTCTTGTTGTTTCTTCAGGCTTTGAACATATCTATACGTTTTCTTGATACATGTAGCAAATACTGAATTTAGGAAGTATTTGTATTTATTGTAAGTATTTATTTATTAAGTATAGACATCATGGGGTGTCCATGTGGCGCAGCGGTTAGGGCGCACGACCCATGTATGGAAGCCTTAGTCCTTGACGCGACCGATCTGGGTTTGAAACCTACCTGTGGTCCTTTGCCACATGTCTCTCTCATACCCCCTTTTCTGTCGGCCTACTGGCTAAAAAACGAGCAACTAATCATCATAGAAGCAGAGCTGAAATATTCAGCTGCAGTTTCTTTGAGTGGGGGGGGGGGTTCCTCCTTATTAACAAGTTTGGACAATGTGAAAGTCTTTTACAGAGATTTATTTCTATAAAATATAACATTATCAAAATGAAATTCTAAAATATATTAACATGTCTATTAATATTTATAATTCCATTTAAATATATCATATGGTGATTCTGTTAGGTTGAACTAATAGAATAGATTGAAGCACTTATATTAGTGATAAAGGTTTGGTTTGGAAACCCAGAAGTAAATCTGAGGCCTCCACGTGCCTGGTTTCCCATCATCGACCCTGCCAGCTCCTGCTGAATGACGTTGGATGTGAGCCAGAATCAGAGCGCCCTGAAATGGTGCTAAGTCTCCTGAGTGACCTTTTTGTTTAACAAAGTGATTTTCCTGCCTGCTCAAGGTTTTTGTTTGTCTGCACCTCGACAGCCCTGTCTGAGTCACAGCAGCACTGGATCTGGTGGTTTTCCTCCTCAAGCTCTGTTTCCCTAATGTGCTTCATTCTCTACTTGAAAAGTAGCAAAACTTAGGCTTACTGCTGGTATTAAAACGGGAACAGTTCTCACATGTGAGCATGATGTCAGATATCCATGTGACTCATGCACTTTGGTAGCTGTAATCATTCCAGGAAGGATGGAGAATCCTAAATTAGTTGTGGATTATCTATAAATCACTGGGGTTGAATTTATACATACAGGCTTATGTAGGTACATACATCTCCATCAATATTTTTGATAAATATTCCTTAGCAAGGTGTAGAGAAACTACATGCTTTTGTATTAAACATACTGTTAGCATAATTCTTAGAGTATATTGAACAGAGTTAATAGAATTCATTGCCAGACACTTCTATTAAGCCTTTCAGCATATTTTTGCTAAGCTTGGTCGCCTTATAAATCACTTTTGATGTGTGTTTGGTATTATTCTATGGCTAGGCGTCTAGCTTTTCCCATTTGAATCATCTCACCCACACCATCATATGAAAGAAAAGTCTAATTTTTATCAACCAACGAGGGTTAATCTGGAAACTTTTCAGTGAACCAAGTTTAACATCAACGTGGACCATGAGTGGGCTAACCATGAAAGAATGCTTTTGATCAAACCAGTCTTATGAGATATTGAGATTAAGCTTTCAGACCGAAGAACACTATAGCAACCATCAACCACTTTGGTGGTAGCATTATGCTGTGGGCCCATTTCTCTTTGAGTGGTACTGGTACCATTGCTTAAAGTTAATCAGAAGCTAAATTGCTGAAACAGTTGGAACCAGTTTTTCAGGCAAACACAATCATCTCAAACACACATCAAAACTGGGTTTGGAGTGAATAAAGAAGGCTAATATTAAGCTCCTTCAATGGTTGTATCTAAAAAACAATTCTAATTTCAAACACTTCCATCAGAAATATAAGATTTAATCAGATAACCAACTTTTGTTTCCTATTTAAGTAAATGTTTAAGTGGATTGGAGCTAATGACAATATATTTAATTTTGTGTATATAGATACTCCACCCACAAAAAAAACTGTTCCTAAACGTATAGTGGAGGATGTTCTTCCTCCGGGTGGATGTTCAAAATAAGTGGTCCTCCTAATTGTCAATCATTCTAGTGAAATGTTTACGTAAGGCCGTCCTATGTGCTCGTCCCCATTTCTACTTAGCGATGGTGAGTCTGATATAGTGGAAAAATCTTCTTTAGGAAAGTAAGCTTGTATGAGCGATGCAAACAGTTACTCTAAAACAGAGCGTGAACGAGGAGAAACAGTGCATGCATGCTCTTGCACATGTTTAATGGGTGTTTCTTCCCAGGAGGTACAGGGTTGTGCGTGTGCATTTTTTTTTTTTTAAAGTGGAGAATCTTTTCAAAAATTTGAGTCTCAGTAAAAGCTTGAAATACATTAGGCCTATGCTGATGGTTAGTTCTTGGAAGAAATATATTGGATATTCTGGAGGAAAACTTCCCAGAAGAAATATATTGACAGCCCGACACCTGTGTGCCGATCTGTACCTCCTCCCTGTAACTGGAAGAAATATTTATCGGTGTATTTTCTGTCCATTTTCATACTAAATTATTAAACGGCTCCTTCATTTGGTTCATAACTAAAGTTCTCAACCATAGATTGCTTAGATATATTTATGATTAAATATGTAGTTTAATGGATAATCTACATTGATGGGAGTGTAAATCATTTAGCAGCAGCCCATCTTATGGTGAATGTATGTTCCTAAAGCAGAATTCTTCACACCCATAGAGAAAAGCTGTGTTTGTCTTTTGGTCAGGATCTTATTACTGTGAGTTTGAAGAAAGAGAGATGAGTTCTGGGTGTGATGAGTTTTCTACAGCCTGTAAAGATCTGATAGTATTAGGGAACCAATTATCCACTGAGTAGTTTTGATTGCAACTCTCTAATGTTGGTATTATATTAAGGTTTATTTTAATCATGATTCTGTATTTTGCACCCTAGCTGTGAAAATAACCTCCGTGCAGTTGACCATCGAGCCCAGTGATAATGTGAGTCGAAGCTCCACGGTGACTTTTAGATGCAAAGCCACGGTTCTCACCTTTGGGAAGGCTACAGTGAATCCTGTGTATGAGATATACAGAGGTGACCATGTTATCCACGAGGAGACAACCAGCTCCTCCGATGAATTTATCTGGCAACTTCATGATGTCAGAGTCTCCAACAGTGGCAAATATAAGTGCAACATAAGCATTTCTGACCAGGAGATGGCCAGTGAATCTGCAACACTAAAAGTGACAGGTGGGTTTTTTTTATCAAAGGTTTTGATTTATTTCACATTTTAACAAACGCTGATGCATTTTCTTTTAATGAAAAGCCATAATAATAAACTTATTTTCATTTTTTTTTTCAAAATCCACTGGGTTCCTTTATTTGTAGAATTTCAAAACTTCGATTTATCCATCCTTCAGTTATTGTGGTGTGTCTGATGATATCACGAATGTCACATTTTAGCCATAGTCTAATTAATCACTTTGCACAAATCAAGCTTTTTTCCCCCAGTGGAGTTTTGTGCAATAAGTGCCAACAGAGACTGAAGTGATTTAATCTGCTTTTATTGTAGCGGTCACTGTTATTTCTATGTGTTTTTAACTCATTCAATTGGGTAATTTCTCTTTTAGAGAACAAATAAAAAATAAAAGAGCACATTAAGCCCCTTGTTAGGTTATGCAAAAAATATTTTATACCACCTCCCAATGGTGAAAATATCAAGAGAGAGCTCTGTCCTCTTATCTATCTTTATACCTTGCTAATGAGATAACATACTGTAGGCTGTCAGTATGGATATAGGAAGGAGGACTGCTTTTAAATGCTAATTGACATCAGCCATTTTCTTCATTTTTTATCTGTGGCCTCTGCCATATAACTATAAAACACAATACCCCATATCAGGGTTTGATTTTTAATTCCTTTGTATTACGTAGATTGTAGTGGACATGAAGATAATTTCATGTCTGTAGCTTCTTTATAAATACAGCAGCTGAGAGAAAACATTCAAATGTTCTATAGTTATTTTCCTTGCTGTATACTGAAGAAATAACTAACTTTGATTTGACTTAAAGTTGTTTAACCCTCAGATGACGGGATCTGTTTCAGTCTTTGGTTTGCGTTGAGCCTTTCTCACATTCCTATGATGTTTACTACTTCTCAGGAATGTCGACGCCCATTCTTCACCTTGACAAAACTAATGTGACTGAAGGAGAATATGTGACGGCCACATGTTCAGCACCGGATGAAACCGGAGACCTTAAATATAACTTCTTCAAAGATTCAAAAGACTTACAGACTTGGACAAGCTCTAATAAAGAAACGTTCATCCTGAAAGACGTTGGGAAACACATTATTGAGTGCTCCTACATTGTCTCCATCATGCCTGATTTATATCCGTCCGACCAAAGCAATGCTGTCACTGTTACAGTGAAAGGTATGTTGAGTCTCCTCATGTTTCCTTTCCTCCAAGCTTTTCTTTTCACCTCATAGTGTATGGGTTTCTGCTTCCACAGAACTTTCCCTCACACCAGTCCTGAAGATTTCCCCTCAGGATAACATCTATGAAGGTGACACTCTCAACATCACCTGCTCGGTTAACAGTTCCTTTAAGGACTACCCTGGTGTAGAGCTCTTCCTGAGTCAGGGCACAGAACTGATCAAGAGAGGAAACACATTCCTCCATGTTAGCTGGACTACACCTTCAGGAGCCCCAGAGCTTACCATCAAATGCAGCATCTTTGTCAATACAGTAGAGAAAAGGGACAACAAGACGCTTTCAGTAAACGGTGAGCAGTAAAAAAATATAATCGCATGGAAATCTCTCAGTCTATGTGGTTATTAATGTTATTCTGTTAGTTGATTACTTCACTAAAACAGTTTATCATATTAGCCTCTGCGCTATTAATATCAACCATCTGATGAAAAACTGTTTGTTTAATAATCTGTCCACAGAGCTGTTCTCTGTGCCCACCCTGAGGATGTCACCTTTGGAAGTCTTTCAAGGGGATTCAATCCAGCTTATCTGCAGTAGCAAGACATTTTCACACAACAGACGTAAAATAGAGCCGGTTTACAGTCTAAAGCCTTCAGATCACTACATGACTATACAACAGAATGGAGTATTTATTGGCAATGCCAAAACAACAGATTTTAACTATACGTGTACAGCTTCTGCAAAGGGAATCAACAAGACCAGTAATGTGCTGACTATTGGTCCTAAAGGTGAGTCTACCTTTTAGTTTTCTCTTGTGGTAAAAGACAGCATTCACCATTTGGTCTTTGGGATTTTATTTTTTCTTATCCTTTTACATTTCAAACCAAGGTCAATTTGTTTTGCATCCTTTTTCCTTCTCTTATCCATTTTCTTCATAACAAGTACTCCAGAGCACATGTTAGCTGGTTTAGTTTAGAAATATTACTGATTCTGATGAAGGTGAGCCATAAACTCATCTCCTTGTACACTCAGAAATATTTCACCCAAAATTTAGGATTAATGTAAATTTATTACATGACAAATTCCTCTTTTTTTTATTTTTTTGCTTAATTTGAACACAGACCTATTAAATATTTAAATATATAAGTATATGAATATAATAAAGCAAATTTTCTTGAGTTTGAAAGCTTTCAGCCACCGTTTTGGTTTTTTGTTGCTGTGTTGGTTGTTCTCTTTCTCCACCATCATAAAAAAAACTGATTTGATTGTTATTTATGCTTAAAAAAAAAAAAAGATGCTGGATGATGGACCAAATTTTAGTGTGGTGTGTTAGAGCAGTATTAGGGGAAAGCTGTTAATGATTATATTGTGTTGAATAATTAATTATTGATTACCCATTGGTGATTCATTTTACACCTCTATTTTCCTGGGGTTCACTAGTATATTTTTTTTTCTTTGTGAGTTTGTCCCAGTGGGAGCAACATTAGGACCAAATTTTTCCCTTCCATCAACACCATTTTTTTTTATTTTTTTTTAGCTTTTAAAGAAGGACAAATAAGTGAGGGCTGGAGCACACATCCAGTATATAGAGCAATGTATTTTACACTGCATTACTGGTCTGAATCACAAGAATCCATCAACCCATTTGACTGTGAGAATTGTATACTTGGTTCTGCTTGTTTTGAGTAAAAACCTTCTTATTACTCATTTTTTTTTTAAATCACATTTAAATGACCTAATAACCCTTTAGTTAAATCTGTCACCCTACTGGGATATAGTATCTAGATATTTGTGGAATGAGGTTAATATAATAACCTTTGGAATAAGGCATGTGGCCTCACTAAATCTGAAGAAAGTGCAGATCAGTGAATACTTTTAGGTTGAACTGTACTTTTCTGCATCAGTAAAGTTGTTTTTTTCCTCCTTCCTTATAATTGTGTTTATTATAGAGAAGCTTTTGCATATTTTTTTCTGTTATTGGTGCCTTTTACTCATTATGCCTTTCTGTCTCTTTTCTTTAGTTCCCGTCTCTGCACCAGACATTAAAGTCTCTGGCAATGCAATCCTTCGGAAGAATGCTGAAATCTTGTGTCAGTCGGAAACAGGCACCCCGCCGATTAACTACACCCTCTGGAGGGCTAAAGAAAAAAAACAAATGGCTATAGTTCAGGAGTTCAGTAAACCTGCTAATTTTACAGTGTTCATCAGTGAGCCTGGAGAACTAGATGAGTATGTCTGCAGTGCCAGTAATGGTGACAGGGAGCCTCGGTATAGTGCCAAACTCCACGCCGCTGTCATTGGTAAATATCTATATTTGCAAGTAAAATGTATTTGGTCAAAATCTCAGATTGTTTTATACGGAAACTATCTTCACTGGTATTTCTGCTCTTTTAAGTGGAGTAGGTTCCTCGGGTCGTAAGAGGCTTTACATTTACCTAGAATAATGCTAATCACCACCATGCTTTATTGTTCAGACGGGCTTTTAGCTATAATAAGTGGTTTTGCTCATTAATGACAAAATGTTTTGTTCACTCCTTATTCTTGATTTTTATGTTTTGTACAATTTTGTTTTTATCCGTAAAATTAAAAGATGAGAGCTACCCTTTACAAAGCAACACAAATCAGGGTGACTCACTTTGTAGGTCAAATTAAGTTGATGTAAACTGTTTTTCTTTCAACTCCCCATTAAATCTAGCTGACTAACGTTTCCTGTTTTTCCTTTTCCTAGAGCCTATGACCGAAGCACATCTGATGGTTGTTCCAATATCAGGCGACATCTCAGAGGGAAATTCGATCACCCTGATTTGTTCTTTCAGAGGCACACCGCCTGTAACGGTTTGGTGGTTCAGGGAAGGCCATTCAAAGCCGCTGCAAGACGCAACTACAAATATCAACACCACAGACTACCCTTTTACTCTGTCTAAAGAGCACAGCGACAAATACTACTGCAAAGCTGAGAACCGTGCCAGCTCTGTTGAAAGTAACAGAGTAGATTTAGTAGGTGAGACTGATTTTAACTCGGCATCATTCCACTTTCTCAGTCTATCCTCTAAATCCCAACATGAAACTAGGTGATGAACAGGATCTTTATACTAATCTGTTCTTATTTTTAATACCTTTTAATGGGGTTTAAGAATTATGGGAAGTTTGTAAAAAAATATATATTCCAGTTATTTGTCTTTATCAGTTTAAACCGTCCGTAGTTTTTATATTTCTAGATAAACCTAAAGGATTAAACCCATTTCTCTGTAAACGGAAGATCCTATTTATGTCCAGTATGAGACGAGCCTTTATTTTATGCCCAACTTTTTTTTGTTTTGGCCTTTTCTTTTTATTGAATCTGTCTTTCTTATTAATCAATTATTAGTCCTGACCTCAACCAATGTACTGTACATAAGTGACACCTGCAGTGCTTTCCAGGCTCTTTTGTGACCTCCTACATGAGTTGTTAATGGGCTCTTTGAGTAATTATGGTTGGCAGGCCCCTTTTGAGATGATCATTTAAACAATTTCCTGTGTTTTCTCTTCTCCCTGTGATTCCCTAGTTATTGTTCTAAAATAGGGCTGAAACAATTAATACAACTAATCGTAATGAATAGACTACTGAAAGAATCCATCCATTTTCCGTCACGCTTATCCCAAGCAGGGTCGTGAGGGGTGCAGGTGCCTATCTCCAGCTGGGCGAGAGGCGAGGTACACACTGCAGAGGTCGCCAGTCCATCGCAGGGCTACTAAAACAATCATCATTATGCAAAAATTGTAAAAACTATATGTAAAACATTTTGTATTTAAGATAAATAACCTTTGCTGTCTGTGAATATGATCTACAGAGCATTACAAAGTTTTAGCCAAACCTGGTTTAACTCCTGGATAATATATTCTTAGGGCACCTTTTGCTGTCCGATTTGTTAATCAAGTGATCGAAAAAATTAGCTAAAGAAGCAATGGTTTCGTCCTATATTGTCATTTTTTCCAGACTAATAAAAGTCAGGGACTTTGTTTTCTTGATGAGTTACTTTCTGTAAGATTTTAAAACCTGCCTCATGTTGCAGATCAGTTTTCTGAACTTTAAGTCAAGTTTAAGCAAGCATAGGCATTGCTGGGAACTTTAAACAAACAAATATGTTTAATTTGAAGTGTTAAATGGATTTAACACAGAAAACAGTTAGCTTTATAACTAAACAGGTGTTCTTTTCATTTGCTCGCTTTATATTTATCCAATATTAAAACCTGACAACTCGAAATATTTAAATGTTACAAAAAGGAAAACTCATGTAATCTATAAGTGGTCAAATGCCTTTTGTGCAGCTTTTTATATGATGCAAAATGCAGGAAAAAAACAAACAAACAAACCCCCCACAATCCACACACACTTTCTTTGTGATGATCTTGTCGTTAACCACTTCTTGAACAGGAAACACTGGTCATTTCTCATAGTCTACCCAGCTATTCAAAAAAACATAAAATAGGGTTTTATGAGACTTTTCTGTCTGATATATTTGTTGTTTGTTTTTTTTAGATCATAACTGTTTTGGGTTTTTTTTGTAGCTCTTTAATTAATATTTAGATCAACCAGCCTGACAACCTGCAGACTGAAGACCCCAGTCTGATCCCATTAGTTTTACTCAGCTGGCTGTTTTGGAAAATGTTTTCGCTCATCTAAACAGTCATTTGTTTTATTATTTTATCTTTGTTATCTACCCGCATTAATGTTTGATTTATTCTGATGATGCAAAACCAATGAAACTTATGAAGGGGTCACAAACTTCCCAGCCTCCCCGTAGTCCTGCTTTCTTTACTAAAAATATTTGGACGGAATTTAATACATTAATGAAATTGTTTTCTCCCCTTGTTCATCAAAAATTGCTTTCTTCTTGTTTATTTTACCACTTAGCCTTTGTCCTTTGTGCCTCTCTTTGCAGTGGGCATGGCCATGTGGAAGAAGTTGCTGATTCCTGGGATCATAATACTGGGGGTGTCCTCACTGGTGATGGTGGGCTTTGTGCTGTTCATCAGATCCAGGAGAGGTAGAAACACCTACAGTCCTCCAGATACTCAGGCCTCTTATGTCTTTGAATAAAAACCAGCCCTCCTCCTCCGGCTGCCCCTCCCTCTCTTCTGAATTATCCTTTCTTATTGTAGGAAAAAGAGACACAGCTGCTGAACTGTCAGTGTGAGTTGGCTTTGACTTTTCGCTTCTCCTGAATGTGCTAGATGTTTCAGGAACTGGTCTTTGGATTTATCCGGTTTGGATTCAACTGTAAGGTTGGATTTGGGGTGTTTTGCATGTTTGTTAGACAAAAAAAAAGTAATCTAAGGAGAGTGGTGGCCTAGTGGTTAGGGCATAGAGCTTGGAATCCTGAGGTTCTGAGTTCGAGCCCCACTCCTACAGACTGCCGCTCTGGCTCTCTGAGCAAAGACCCTTAACCCCCCCATTGCTCCCAGGGCGCCCCATGATAGCAGCCCACTGCTCCCCGAGCAGAGGTAAATTTCTTCAATGTAACATCAACAAAGTTCAATTATTTATTATTATCTTTCAATATTTATTTTATGTTTGATTAATATTCAAAATAATTCATATATTAAAGCAGTAACAGAGACAGAATAATAATGAACAAACTGTTGTTTGGATTATTCTTTATCATTCATGAAGAGGCTTTTTAAACCCTAAAATGACCAAGGTTGTTCAATTTAACAAATATGTGTACTTCTCTTCATAATTTATATATTTTTTCTACTCGTAGTTATACTATAAGGTACATATTCTAATGTTTTCTGTTTGTCAGGGTAACAATAATCCTTTTTTACTACGTAAATCACAAGGTTAGAGGAGGAAAATATGAAGATATAGAGCTATATATATATAAAAAAAAAAGATAAAATAGCCCATATAGATATAACATAATGATGTCACTCTTCTCTAGGGCAGGTTGAGAAAAACCCATGTTCATATCTCAATGTGGGAGTTGCATAAAAGAGAACAGGCATGGTTTGTGATACGATCAAATGAAGACACACAACAGATAATCGTGCACCTGGTGAAACATGGTGACACTGATATATAAGAATGATCAGAGATGTTTTTCTGGGCTCATTTTCATTCTTTTGATGACGGTGACGTGTGCAGACTATTTTAGCCCAGTGCTATAAAAAGCTCTTCATTTTTCTCTGATTTAGATTAAGCCATTGTAAACTTTAAGTCCTGTTTAACAGTCATTTACTATGTAAAGACGTGCCTATTTATTTAAATTGTGGTTTTAGGAGGGATTGCATCGACACAAAGACCTTGATGAGAGCTCCAAGGCATAAAAGGAAACTGCTAGAAATAAAAACTGTTAGGTATATATTAATGTAGGCAATTATTTTTTCTAGATGGGTGTTTACTTTGAGAGGCAGGCCATAGTTCTATGGTCTCTGTTGCTCTTGTTTAAGATACAAAACTGGCTTTAAAATTAGTATTGAAATAAGCGTTCCCGAGTGTTCAACATAATTTCCATGTCTACAACATGCAAAACATCAGGCAGTTTTCTTTACCATCTTTAAGAAATTAGTTTTTATCTTGACATCACGTTCGCCTGCAGCTGACATCATTTTCACAATTTCTCAGAAAGCCTGCGAGCCCTAAATCAGAGGACTCTTTAGCAGTGACTCTAACCCACGACACAGAGGTTTATAATGCAGCCACAGGTAGCTTGGGTTTTACTGTTCTTTTCATGTTCCACTTTAAGGCCTGTTCAGCATTTATCATCTAACAGCCATCACCCCACCCTAAACATTCATCACATACAGTCTTGTTATAAACTCACAGTATTAATCCATGCTTGCAGAGGTCAGATAGAGGTGACCTCACTTTATTTATTTCTATTTGCATGCACAGCATGTTTATCATAAAGTAAAAGATGATTACCCCCTATGCAATTATAATGTTTCACAACATGGTCCCATGCACTTTACACAGAGCAAAGACTTTATTTCTTAAGGTTTCTGACCAGGTGGAGTAAATTTCTCCACTGTGAGATAAATAAAGTCAATCAATCAAACTAGCGTCTACAAGACGATTTACCAGAACTACGCTCACTGCATTTATGCAAACAAGGGAGTTCTTCTTTTTCTTCTTCCAAATTGACGAGTCCAACCGGCACCATCTCTCAGCGCTGAGTTTGAGTTTCATTTTTGGACGTACAGTGTGAGCAGGTAGATTGCATCAGAGCATCAGGTGGTAAACTGCAAGATCATACATCGTGAGCTGGGAACTTTTAAACCCTGCAGTTTGTACAATTTGAGCTGTAGCTGAGTACAACCATTGACAGTATTGTACATTGCATGTCTGACTCTAAGAAGGCCTTTATATAGCAGGAGAAGGGTAGATAAAGTGACTACAGCATCTGAGAGGGTGAAGAATTGGAGTAGGAAGTATCTACAAGAAATTTGTAGAAAGCAAAACATCACAGAACAAGCCTGGCAGTGGGAAGGAAGCAAACACTTTAAAATTAAACTAGTGAGAGTCTCAGCCAAGAAACAGCTCCCAAGTCAGGGATTATTGTCCTGAAGTAGAATCGTTTATAGAAGCTCTGCACAGATGGGGGGAGGAGCCTCCAAACCATTACCATAGATGACCCAGAAGAAAACTTATGCATAGTTTAAACATGTTCTACAGTCAGACTGGGGGACTAGAGTAGAGATATTGCTAATGGTTGAAGACATAGCAGAGGTCTTTAAAGGAATAGTACACCCAAAACATGATTAGCCTTCATTTTCTACTCACCTCCATGCTGAACAACACACTGGAGTACTTTTTTGATATCTCAAATGCATCTGGAGATCTGGGAGGCTTCTTGCTGTCTGCTGACATTCAAATAATGGAGGTCTGTGGCGCCCGAGACAGAAAGGTCCATAAAAGTCCACAAAAACGTGTCAATATTCCTCCATACTGCTCGTCCAATGTAATCCAAGTGTCCTGAGTGGGTAGCATCCAGAATTTACTCGAAACGAAGTCATTTAGAATGTTTTTAGAGCATAAACAGTAGTGTATAGGATTTCCTAATAGCGCCCCCATGCGCGCTCACGATTCTACGGAAGCCGGCAGACCAAACCGGAAGAAAGTGCGCATTCAGCGTCTGGTCTGCCGATAATGCAAGCGTAGAAGAAGAAATGTGCTGTTTACCTGTGCAAAGAAAGAAACAACGAAAGAAAAATGTCTGAGGACTTCAGTGTTGAGGAAGAGCATGAGTTCTTTGCCGAGCTGAATGCGCTGGTTTGGTCTGCCGGCTTCCGTAGAATCGTGAGCGCGCATGGGGGCGCTATTAGGAAATCCTATACACTACTGTTTAGGCTCTAAAAACATTCTAAATGACTTTGTTTCGAGTAAATTCTGGATGCTACCCACTCAGGACACTTGGATTACATTGGACGAGCAGTATGGAGGAATATTGACAAGTTTTTGTGGACTTTTGTGGACCTTTCTGTCTCGGGCGCCATAGACCTCCATTATTTGAATGTCAGCAGACAGCAAGAAGCCTCCCAGATCTCCAGATGCATTAGAGATATCAAAAAAGTACTCCAGAGTTTTGTTCAGCATGGGGGTGAGTAGAAAATGAAGGCTAATCATGTTTTGGGTGTACTATTCCTTTAAGGATACCCTTTTGGCATAGAAACACAAGATTATGGGTATTCTACTGTAGAAAGGCTTTCGTGCAGCTTCACCTTGGAATCAAGGTGGAATAATTCCTCAACAGAGGATCATATGCGAGGATTTTGCAAGAAAACCTAAAACAGTCATCATTAAATCTACATTGCTACTGGTGAAGAGATAGTTTAAGAAGATTAACACTGCTCACTGATTTTTAAACATGTACATGTTTATGAAAATCTGTGGGGTGAACTGTAAACAAAAGGCTTGTTTAAGAACAGAGATTCATAGAAGAATGAGTGGGAATCCTTCAGAGAAAATTCAGTTATCCAGTAAAAAGTATATAAATAAACTACCAATAGCATAAAGGGGAAAGATTATTGCTGTTTTTCCATATGTCATGAAAAGGGCAGATGGATCCAGTATTCGAGGTGAGACAGACGATAGGAAAGTTAAAAACGTTTATTAACAATTAACGGAACAGAAGCGGACTGCTGTGGATCTGCAGACCGCAGCGGCTGCAGTGGGGAGGCGAGGCACCACCAATTCACTGACTCTCTGGTTCAACATTTCCGTCATTCCTCTCCGAAAAAGGCAGGATAAGCTGATGGACTGCCAAACGAGCTGCAGCGCAGAGCCGCCCATAGTGTCCCCGATGCAGAAATTTGAGGGAGCAGGCAGGAATCCCATCCAGTAAAACAGATCAGACAGGACAGTTATGGAATCCAGGAGTCCGCAGCCCGGTCAGGGTTCTGATCCACACAGGAACACAGATCTAGGGTTCCAAGAATCCACAGAGCATTGAGGCAGGTTCAGAGTTCCATGAGTTGAGCAGCAAGCTCAGATAGACACGTTCAGATGGAGACAGGCGAGCTCAGGGGCTGAGAGAGACAGAGACAAGACATGGTACCAGGAGAATTGCAGAACTTTAAACTAGCTCCACCTAGGAGCTAGGATTAGGGGACTTTAAACTACCCGCCGAGCCAAAACAGGAGTGCTCATCAGAAAAGAGCCAGGACAAGATCAGGAGACGGCAAGGCAAGCACTAAAACCCTCTCAACCCACTGGCCTCAGAGGACAGGGACATGAACCTTGGAATAGCTAAAACTAGCAAAACAAAGAAACAACAAACAATGACCTGGCCCCACTAGCTGGGCTGAGCCAAATATGAAGGAACAGACACAGGTGGATAAGATCAGAGATGGCAAAAGTACTCACTTTCCGTACTTGAGTAAAAGTACAGATACTTGTGTTAAAAAATACTCTGGTAAAAGTGGAAGTACTGATTAAACTTCTTTACTCAAGTAAAAGTAACAAAGTACAGGCTTGTAAATTTACTTAAAGTATAAAACTAAAAGTAGAAACCACTTTTTTCATGCCGTTGCCTACATTTTAAATGGATGTCTGCCAATAGGACTAGATCTCCGTTGTGTTCATTTTCAATCATCTTGTCGTCCATACTACTATGCTAACGCCACCGCCACCAAGCTGCAATGATTTGCCGCGAATGAATACCGCCGAATCTGTCGATTCATCTTGTAGTGGTGCGTCAAATGCAACGTAGATTACCATCCAATTAGATTGAATTTTGTATTGATGACGTGAAAAATAATAACGGTAACTCCATTGAAATGATTTAAAACTAAAGTAACGAGACAATTTTTTAAAATGTAAGGAGTAGAAGTAAAAAGTCGCCATAAAAATAAGTAGTAAAGTAAAGTAAAAATATCAGAAAAATCTACTTGAGTACAGTAACAAAGTATTTGTACTTCGTTACTTCCCATCTCTGGATAAGATGAGGAATGATTAGGAACCGGGCAGAGTTAGGCAGGTGAATGAAGTGAACAATTAAAGTCAGCTATCAGGGCAGATCATGACAATTTTGTAGACTTCTTATAAAGTAAAATATAATGATTTAAAAATAACAATCAAAAGAAAAAGTTGAGTTAAAAGTCTTTGCTCTGTTTATCAGTCCTTTGGAAATACTAGAAAAAACAACTCTATTTAAGGGGGGGAGCTAATCAATTCTCCGCCAACATGCATGATAAACCCATGTTTCCTCTTTCTTTTTCTTTTGCATGTCTCCTTTATGTTACATCACATGTCTGAGTAGGGGATTGTACGCTGCTTGACTAACGTGTTTCTGTGGATGTGGAGGAACTTTTCTTTCATTTTCTGCAAACTGCTTAGAGCAGCTGTTATCCTCTTGTTCCAGACGCAGCATTGTTCTATGATGACAAGGAGGGGAGAGTGACCAATGGGACACGAACTAGCGTTGTATCGCTTCCTGCAGACATCAGCGACAGGAGCAGCTACAGTATCCCAGCAACAGTGTAGAGACAGCACATACTGTCATTAAGGAAAAACAAACTCTGAACGACTTTTGAGGCAAACACAAGAGACAGCAACCTTGTTTATAATGAAAGATTTGGACTCTTTCTTTTTTTTCTTTTCTGTTTTTTTATCTCAAAACAAGAAACAACCAGGGCCCACTGCTCCCTCTCCCCTCCTCATGCAGTCTTTATCCTTACAATCTGTTGTGCGCTTTGGTTTCCGTGTTCGGTGGGATGCCATGCTTATTTCTTGTTTCATACGTTCATCTAATCTGCATAAAGTGAACCTGATAAGACTGATCTGTACATACTGTCACAGGAAATGTGTGTATATAATTTGGGTTGATCATTGGCTGATGATTGAGAACAGCTCTGTAGAATAAAGGTGTTTGTTTTATTTAGAGGTGTGCCTGAACCCTTCATTTATATTCCTCCTTGTTTAAATAAACAGTGTGAGTCAGAGGTTTACATACAGCAACCATGGACACAAAAGCTAAATATTTTTCATTATTTTAATGATTCTTTAATCTTTGATGTATGATCTATAAAAAAAAATTCAAATTAGTTTTTATTTTATTCTTAAATCCACAAATAGATTAAATTAGACAAGTAGGCTTCAACATACACTTAAATAATATTTAGTTTAATGTCTCCTTGTTTCCATAAGTGATTTTGATGTAAACCTTCAAAACCCCCCGTTTTTAAGGGGGTTTTGAATCAAAGTCCTGTTTAAATGCTTCCTTTTTTTATTCATCAGACCCATATGTTTTAGGTAAATGCAGGGTTATATTAGGATGTTTGGGAGCAATCTAAGGGGTACCAAGAATCTGGCCTGTCTGGAACTTTCCTCAGTTAATAAATAGGATTCGTTGTTTTTTATCCCTCTTTCAGCAGCAAGGATTATTCAGACTTAAAATAGTTTTGTTTTAAGTTGTCAGCTGATTATTTCTTTTTTTGCTTCCTACCTCAAAAATCCACCAATAATGTAGCCACTATTTGTACCCACACCCCTAGAAATGAGAGATTTATTTTGATTTAACCTAGACCTAGCAGCTCCAGAGGCTGATATAGATGGGGGGCCAGGTGGGTGATGGCCACCCCTAACTAATCATTAGTCACCCCTACCTGGTGTTTTTGTTGTTTCCAGGTGAATGTAATTTATCTCCTCTGGAACAAGCAGTTCTCCTCTAAACCATAAAGAGGCAGCCCTGGTACTATCATTTGTCATTTTGACATTTTTTATGTTAGTACATTAACCTTAAACTGACACCAAAAGTATAGGAAAAAAACATATTCACAACAATATTCTACAAAATGAAAGATAAAGAACAACAGCTCATCCATTTAATGTATAAATTATGTAGAGCAATAAATTAATTTAACCAGAACAGATATATAAATATATTTGAAGCTTTACTGTGAAAATGGTATCATGAATATCTGGTCTGTCCTCAGTGATTTATGTGGAAAATATAGATGTTGTGTACATTAATTTCCCTCTTTGGGAAACAGACCGATTGTAAAATGTCTTTGATACCTTGAGTTTTCTTCCACCCCTCAGTGCACATTGGTCCTCACCTGGTCACCTCTATAAACATTCCGTGGAACTGGCCCTGAGCAGCTCTTTAAATGATGAACTACTAAAGAGCTAAAGAAGAAGTTGGTAGTAGGCAAGGCAGTGGTTATGTAAAGATTTGGGTTAGTTTAGCTGTCAATGGCACCAGTGCTCTAACCTCAGATGCCATTGAAACTAAGACAGATGTGGCTTAATATTTGGCTTTTATAAGGATTCTATAAAATGGCTATAAAAATGGTCATAATCCAGGTCTGTGACAGAAAAAAAAATCTACCTTTTATAAGAGCTCATTTTTAATCCTAATAGGGTCAAGTATCCAAATCAAGGGTGAAGATGTAGAAGAAAGTAGATTGTTTTTCTGCAAATTATTGTTAATTAATATTGAAGACAGTCTTTGCCCCAGTGTGAAGGAGAAAAATTGCACAGTAAATTTGGTTTTCATTGATAAGATAGCTGAATCTGAAAGTCACCCATCAAATAGGACTTAGGTTAATGCAATGTTAAAACCACATATGTAAACATGTCCATGCCACTGTATGTAAACCTCTGATTTAACTGAAAGACATATCAGCTTTGGAGTTGTATGTTCTCCGCTCTGTGGCAACAATAACCAAATACCATGAAGTCAATTCATTTCCTGAAATCTGAATGCTCTGCAGAGACTTCCTTAAAAACTGTGAAACAATGGAGTCTCTGAGTTGCTTCCTATGCTGGCATGGAAAGCTCTGCTTTGGGGATAGTTATGCTGATCGCAATGGTGGTATTTTGCCGGGTGGGGCTTGTTTTGTTTCATGCAGCAGAGGCAGGAAATTATTCACATAGGGTTTGGTTGGGCCGTGTATTAGATTATATTACCAACTGGGAAGTTGTTTTCACCAGAATCTGCCATGCAGTCGCTCCTAAATTAACAGCCTATTGTGAATAGTTTAGAGGGAGGTATCTATATAGACCATTTAAGGATGAAAAACCTGCTTTTTTGTTGGAATAACTTAAAAAGAACACAATGACATAAGATACCAGAGAAGGTTTGTCCTTGCTTTCGTCAAGGTTACTCACATGGGCGGATGATGAATTTAGGTTTCAGAACCACAGTTCAGTATAATTTCCCAACACTTCAATCAAGAACAGCAAAAAAAAAAAAAAATAAAAGATTTTTTTTCTTGTCTTATTCAATTTCCAAATAAATTTTTTGGGTCATGTTCTAAAACCTAAAAAAACTGGAGGGTATTAATTAAAAAAGACATGCTCTCATTTCTGAGTTAGGTAAGCAGGCATATATTGATGTTTAGACAGTTTCCATATAGGAGGATGAACATATATTGTTTTTTTTTTAAATGATGACATCATAGTTTACCAACTGTGATGTGTTTAGCTGTTTGAATAATCCTCTCTCACCATTGAAGATTACTCTGACTCACATTTCACAATAAATTCCAACTCTAACTCACCCCATTGCACAGGTTTGTGATGGAGGAACTTGGCTGGTCGCCACAGAGCCCTGATTTCAACATGCCAGACTTTCTCATCCAACACAAATGCCCTTCTGAAATAATGGTCCAAAACTCAAACACACCCCTCTACACTGTAGACATCCTTTTTTAATTGTGGATGCTTTTGTAGCTGCAAAACTGTTGGCAGATATTTTATTTAAGTTTTTTAATGGGTTATCATTACCTTTAAAAGGATACATCACTTACTGTACCTATAGGTGTAGAGTTAAAGGCATATTTAGCTATAGAGAGTGATTGGACAGACGACGCAAATATTTTACTACTGTTTTGAAAAATCTGCTTTGATCTTCCTAAATAGCTCTTAATAGATTCTGCCTAATTTGTTATTTTGTTGAAGCTAAGCAAAACTACAGCAGCCATACTGAGTTAACACAGTTTAAATACACGATTTTACAGCAAATTCAACAGGTCCTGCAAACTCAAACATTTGAAATCAGTCAAAAAAAAAAAAAGAAAACAGACGTAAACTCTTTAAAACCAAAAAGTGTAAAATTCCCATACTTTGTCCCTCAGGTTGAGCTTAACACCATCCATCGATACGAGAGCTGAACAATCCTTTCAAGCCTACTTGTTTTGCACCAGTGTCAAACCTGCTCTGCCTTCTTTTAAATTAAAGTCCAGCTTTCCTTTATACCTGGCAGCAAGTAATCTGTCAGCTTCTTAACAGCCTGACCCCACAATGCAACACTACAATAAGAACATATTATAGCACAGCACAAAAAAAAGGTTCAAATATTGAAAATGAATATTAATTTAGGGGGATCTGACAAAGTGAGTAATATGCAGGAAAAAGGAAAACAGAGCAACAAAGCAGGTGGGATTCAAGAAAACTGACACGAAAAAAACCCCAGAAAAACCCAACAGAAAATAGGAGAAACTAGTGAGGAGGGGAAATGAAGTAGCCCTTAACCACAGATGGTGTGAGGAAAAATAAGAATTATGTCTGAGAAATCAACAAAATTAAGGGCAGCTGGGACAAGAACCTAAGCAGGAAGCTAAAACAAAGAGTCAAAGATAAACACTGCATAGAAGACAGGAGATTAAAGGATATTACTAAACCCAACAGTAAAGGCTAACAAGCATAGTCATTTAATCCAATTATACAAAAAGGGGAACAAAAGAGAAAACTAAGAAACAACACAAAAGTATGAAACCACCTTTGTGACAAACGACCAAAAGAACCAAACTACAAAACCAAATGATTAGAAAACACAAAGATCTGTAGGTGTGACTTAAAACCAAGGAAGGCCCACATTGGTTCCCTTTAGGAAGAGAAACTGGACTTAGCATGACGAAGACAATAGAGATAGTAATGGCAGTAACTTTTTCTATCTCTGCTTTTTTTGGATGCTATCAACTCGTTTTCCTTAATAGAAACGTTTAACCACTCTGGCTCTGATGTCTCTGTGAAGTGCCTTGAGATGGCCTGCATTGTGAACTGGTGAAATAAACTGAATTAAACTGAAATTAAGACACCACACCGCAGAGCATGATGGCAAAGGCGGTAATGAAGAATGCAAAGGACAACAGATGGCTGTGAAAACAGATAATAATAAAAAACGGCATAGAAGAACATGATGAGATACCAAGAATGGAGACTGTGCATATCACTGAAAAAATTAATGCAACCGCTTTTGGCATTTACTTAATCATATTTAGTTACTTTAACACAATTGTTTTATGTCCTACCCTGCTGCAATGAAGCTATTGTGTTAAAGTAATTAAATATTATTAAGTAAAAGCTAAAAATGGTTGCATTAGGTTTTTCATTGCAGAAAAGAATGCTATTGGTGAAGGAGACAGTATTGGAGACATTAGAGAGGCTGGTGCAGATTAAACCACAGTAGATGAAGGGCCAGATGTTCATGCTGGAGGCAGCCAGGAATTAATCTCTGAAGGATGGATAGATGTTCTTTTTGGGGGCAGCTCGGATATAGCTGAGCAGCAAAGGAGGAGAAACATGTATTAGAATAATCCTTTTTGTAAAAAGTTTTTAATTGCTGGATGTATTTTTGCTTGGGAGCAATGTTAGAATTTGATATTCTTGGTCTGTGATTAACAGGGCGAGTGGACAGAACTCCGGAGAGTGTATGGAGCACCAGAAAACCTGAACCAGGTGAGCCAAAACATTTGCACAATTACATTTGCTTGTATGTTTTGGATTTTTTTTTCTGTAATTTGTTTAAAATATATATATATATATTTAAATGTAGTAAGGAGTAACAGACCAAAAAAGACAAAAGATATTTTAATTGGAACAAGAATCAAGGATGTATTTACAAATGATCAAGAGATAAAAGGTTGTGGTTGTTTGTTGCTT